AGAAGCAAAACGACGTCATATTAGGCAAATGAGAGGATCCACGCATACCTAATACCCGACTTGAGATCCGTGCAAACCAACTCGGCAAACTCGGTGCCCCTCAGTTCTTGGCCTTTGATCGATCCAACTGAACTAGTTTGAATCGCCTTTGCCCTGAACCGTTGACTGGTCCTGTTCAGGTAAAAATTTTTATTTTTTTATAATTTTTTATATATTATTTATATCATTTTTAACTTTATTATTATTATTATTTATGTATGTTTTAAAACTTTTATAATTTATTAGAATAGATATTTCTTGTTTTATAATAATAATTAATAATAATTAAATGACAATAACAACAATAATAATAATGATTTTAAAACTTCTAATTCATTCTAATATTTTTTTAATAACCAAGTATTAAATAAAAAATAAATAATAATAAATAAATATATAAAATAATTATAAAATGAATTAGTAATAAGAAAATGTTCTCGGCCTAGATGTTGGGGGGAATACAATCGTATTTTATATAATGATAATTCTACCTAGATGTTGAAAAATTATTATGAAAAAAGTAATACTAAAAATTAATAATATTATTAATAGTAAATTTTCATAAAACGGATTTTTAATAGTTTTTGAAAATCATAAAAATTGAACTTACTTTGAAAGTTTGTATAGATGTTGAAGATTTTTAAAGATGTTTGTATTTTTTTAAAAAAAAAATTGAAATCCTAAAACTAAAACCTTAAACCCTAAACTCTAAAATCAAAACCCCGAACCTAAAACCCTAAACGTTAAACCTTCAAATCGAAACACTAAATCCTCCAAACGCTAAAATCCTCCAAATCTTAAAATCCTTCAAACCTTAAAACCTCAAGCTTCTAAACCCCAAACCCTAAAACTAAAACCCCAAACCTCAAAACCCTAAAATCCAAAATCTCACACCCTAAAATCCAAAACCTTAAAATCCAAAACTCTAAACACACTAAATTTAGCACAGAATCTTGAATCATCGCCCAAAAAGTCATCAAACCTTAAAACATCAACCTAAACCTATACTCAAAACTATTTCGAAACTTTAAAGATACATGTAAAAATCTTGAATGGAGTAATTTGTTATCGAATGTCGCCTAAATGATAAGGTATTTAGGAAACTTTATTCTATTAAGTTTTTCAGATGGGTCCTTAATTCACTTAAACAATGGAGTTAATAACTAATTAATAATAAAAGTATACTAATAAAATAGGATCTTAAGTATAAATAGTCACACCTAAGCTCTACCTAAATGTTGGAGAGTCAAGGTGGTCTCATTATATTTAAGAATACATTTTTTTGAAAAATTTGCATTTCATCATCTTGTCTAATATCCATTGGCTTACATGTATCATTATATTATTGTTCATACTCATTTCGCATTTCTCTGTCTTTAATTTTTATTTGTTATATGATAATACCATTATTTCTTTCTCATATAAAATGTTTCATAAAACAATATATATATATATATCTTTTAAAGTTGTGATATTATAAAATAAAATAAAAATAACATTCCGAAAAAAATAATTCTTGGTACTCTACGTAGATGTTGGAGAGTCATCAACAATTATTTTTTATAAAGAATGTTATTTTTTTATTTTTTATTTTGAGAAATATTGTGTTAAATCTTAAGCAGAAAAAGTTATTCTAAACTCTGCCTAGATGTTGGAGAATTTTAAGATAATTTTTTAACTTAAAGATTTTCTTAATATTTCTAAATAAGGAGTTTTAACAAAAATTTATTTTAAAATGAAAGGGATTATTATTAAATTTCAAATTAAAACCATTTCATCCAACACTTAAAATAGTGCATGATTAAATGGTATCAATTTATGGGCGTTATGAGGGTGCCAATCCTTCTCCATACATAATCGACTCACAAACCCAACCTGATTTTCATATACCGAAATTTATATTTTTGATAAACTTTAAATCCGCTTTTATAGTTGTATTAAAAAAATAAACTCTTGAGTGACCAACGACATCCTAAAAAAGATTGGTGACTACTCTTCCCATTTTTCTCAATTTTAAAATTTCTTTCGTCTAGCAGTCCCAAAACCGTTGCGATATGTATATCCAACAATAATTTATTTAGGGGTAAGAAAAAATTAAAAAAATCAAAAATCAATTTGAAATCATAGTGTTCAATTTAGTTTTGATCAATTTTTTTATTTGATTTTGTTCAAGTTTGCATATTAAATGTATATATTATGTTTAGATCAGACTTTGAATCGAAAGGTAAAGAAAAAATCGAACCGAACCGGTTCAAATTATATATTTTTCTTAATTTTTATATATTTTTTAAATTTTTATAAAACAAAAATAATAATTTTATGATAAAATCTATTTAAATATATTAAAATTTTGTATTAAAATAATATATAAAAAATTTAAAATTTAAAGACCAGTAAATCAAACCGAATTGAACCAAACTAGTAAATTCGATTTAGTTCAATTATGATCAAATTTAAATTCAATTCAGATTCTAATCGAATTTTAAAATTTTATAATATTATATAGTATTCAAAAAAATTGAATTAAATCTGATCTGATCCTAACCGTTATCACTCTTAAACTTATTGGCTTTTGCATTACATAAAATACTTGCTATTTAGCTTCTTTTTTACATAAAAAACTTGCTATAATTATTATTTGATGAACAATAGTGGCAAGGTGAAAATTTAATATTTTATCAATGTATAATAATCAATATAATAGAGGCAAGCTAATTGAGTAAATTAATCAAAAAAGGAATGAAATCAATCAATAAGATATGTATTAGAACTGATTAAGATATGAAATTCAACATGAGATTCTCCATTCTCTTCTGTATTCACTTAATTTTTCCACATCCTTAATCTACTCAAAAAACAAGCTGACGTTTAGGTAATGAGAGATCAAATTAATCAGATTTCTTGCCATGGGGGCTTGATTATTCACTAATTACACTGCTGTTTTTTAGAGTCCTCTCAGGTTATAAAATACCTATCCATCCCTTCTCTTAGTAGAGCAATTGATTGTGAAAGATGGCTAAGCTTTCATGCAGCGTTGTCATATCCCTCTTCTGCGTTTTCTTAGGTTTTTTTTTTATTCTTTTGGTTTAATTTTGGAGGTATATATTTCCCTTTTGTTCTTAAATTTGATTTAATGTGTTGCAGTTGCTTCGATGATATCTGAAGCAGTAGGGCAAGAGATGTGCCATGATGTACTTCCTGCCCCTGGCAACGGAAAATGTGACCCTCAAAGTTGCAAAGACCAGTGCACCGCAAAATATAATGGCTATGGATTGTGTGTTCAATCTTTTCAAAACTTGTATTCTTGTAATTGTTCTTGGCCTTGTGGCAAGCAGTGAAACTTGCAAAAGTGCATGGCCAAGCCTATCAACATTGAAATAAAGCAACAATAATTCCCTGTTCTGCCAACTTCTTTAAACTTTTAATTTCAATTATTACGATTTAACACCAGACAATTTCAAATGTTTATAAATACCCATTCAGTCCACTTATTATGAGAAGAAAAAAAAAAAAACCATGGATGGATTTATAGATGAATTAATTATTAAATTGCTGAACCTTAATAATTAAAAAGATTTTCACCTTGGAAACCCTATTTTTGTTAGACAATCTATTACAAAAATACAATAAAATTTGAATTCGAAATTTAATTTAATTGATTTATATAATTATTTTTAAAAAAATAATATCTAACAAATTTTTAATTTCAACCCCAAACTCTTCAAACTGAAAAAAATCAATAAAATTTGATTTATAGTGAAAGGTCCAAAAGAACATCGATATGAACTCACGACTATTTAAGGGAGTGTTTGATATAGGATAATCACTTAAAAAATAGTAATGATATACATATCGTGATTAAATCATTATGTTTGGTAAGCACTCAATAATTTTATATAACTGTAATTTTAGATTACTAAGAGTAATTATATCACTGTTTTGGAGATTGATCTAATTTTCATATAAAAAAGTGAAAAGCTTTTATCACCAAGATGAAGTAATATATAAAATTAATAATAATCAATTTTACTTATTTAATATTAAATTAAAAACTTATTATATCTTAAAATTATAATTATTTTATAGTATAAATTTTTATAATTTTAAATTATTACTCACTGTAACAAATTCAAAATAATTTGTGTATTTTTTTTACTTTTTTAATATTTTATATAATATAATTTTTTTATTTTTCTTTTATTATGAATTTAATAGATTGTTTTTATATTTTAATTCAAATATTTTTTACATAATTTATATTATAAAAATTAATTTACCTATCAATAAATATATTTATTAATTTAATAATTTAATTTTATATTATTACAAAATAAATAAATATTACTAATATTTTATAAATTATTATATTTAAATAATTTAAAAATAATTAATTTATGTAACTGTTATAATATACATGATTATTTTTGTATTTTCAAGCAAAATAAATGTTTTACTTTTAGTAATACCAAACACTATAATATTTAATTCTTAAGAATTAACCATTATTAATAAAAAAAAAGAAGTGATTTCAAATCACCAACATTAAAATCAATTTGATAATAAAATTACTTTAATAATTGCATTATCATTATAAAAAAAAAATACTAAACGCTATCTATAAAAGTAAATGACATTTTGAACAAAAAAAATTACCACAATGCTATGCCATGAGCTAAAAGCTTGAAACTCTCAATTTTCAAAATCAAGTCGGTGATAGCTCTAAGTTGAAAGTCGCAATGAAAACCAGTGATTCATAGACTCCTAATTAGAAAATTCTTGTGCATAAACTTTTAGAATGAATCTCGCAAGAAAATTCGTTCATGAATGAAAGGAATTATTGATTTCTTCTAGGTCACAACAATGTTCCTGTTGGAATGTCATTGTATAAATCTTTTTAAAAAATGGTTTAAATTGTCTCACAACAATCTTCTTGTGCTTTTTTTTTGTGTTCTAATTTATATTTCCTTCATTTTTGCATTTGGGCATTGTGCTATTCTAACCATATGCAGACATTTGTGCCTCGATGATGCGTAGGGCAACTCAAATATCGTAAGTCTGTCATAAAACATGGAAGACATTGAAAACAGTCCTGAATCTCCTTAATCTTTAAATGGTCCAACTCTCTCAATTTCTAATCTCTAGCACAAACTCAAAACAACAAAGGCCTGAAGCAGAATGAAAATGAATCACATTGGGGGATCCTTACAGTAGTATGTGCAATAACAGATGTTGTCTTTGCAATCTCCCACACCAGCAGGTTCCTTGGAACATTCCTGGATGCATATCTGCAATTCGCATGTGTTTGTCTCAATAACCTTGTGACATGTATGCTCTGGGATCCTTGCCGCATACACCCTACGTTTAGCCATGACAGGGCTAAACTCAGCTGTTGAGATGACAAAGATTAGCTAGAAACAAGAACCTGATCTTAATGAACTTTACCAGGCATCCTCTTAGGCTTAGGAAAATTCAATTTGTAGGATGAAGAACAAAGAATCATTGAAAATGGGGTTTTCCTGATGATTTCTTGATATAAAAGCAAGATCTTGACATATGTATAATTCCTGTCAGTGTAAAATTTTATTGCCTGGTCCTAGATATAATTCTTGTTTGGTTAATCTTTCTAAGAAACTTTAGTAGCTTTCATTTTATAAAACAAATTGCGTTCAATCAATAAGATTTTAGCTCAAGTATTCCTTATTACAAGATATGAGCAGAAGTAGTGCTTTCAGAGGGAGAAAATAAAAGAGATGGGAGATAAGCAAAATAAAGATAATTAGTTTGTAATTAAGGTTATAATTAAGAGACAACCTGAGGCAAGAAGCAGGAGCAAAAGAGAGAAGAACATCCAGGATATCCTCATCTTTAATCTTCCTGGTGGCCCAGACTCCCAAGATTTGCTTTGTAAGATTTGGGAGTCCTCAAGGCATTAGCTTGTTATATATACGGGCAAAGATTCTTCCAATAAAGATGGTCAAAATTAACTTAAAAAATAGCATACCAATCATTATTGAAAGTGTTCATTCAAGAAGGAATAAATGGTGTCGATCTACTCCAAGTCACTTTCTGTAGTACTTGTGACAAGCTTCTTGCTTTGAGCACATATTCTTTACTTTGTAACTACTTCTTAAAACTGCCATTTGGCATAGAGCAACCTTCAAACTTTTCAGCTGCCAAAGTTTCAGCAAGGTTCAAGGGCTGTTCATTTACGCTTCTCCTTCATTTTGGAACTATGGTTACTCTGAGAGGATGCATTGTCAGCTACCCCATCCTATCAAGAATCAATTCTCAAGCCCAAATACATTACCTATATTATGATTTAGAAAGCAAAATGAATTTTATTTCTCTTTCTTACTGGGAAGGGACAGACAAAGACTGGCCAAAACCTAAAACTTTGCACAACTTAGCGGAAAATTAGAACAAAATTGTAAAAACTGGCATTGCATAAAATTTCGGAAAATTAGAGCAAAATTAGAAATGATATTGTGCTGATTCTGTCAATACTAGATTGTTTAGTGCTTATCTAATAGTTTCAAGTTTTTAGCCTTGCATTCCATCCTCAAAGAACATGTTGTAGGTTTTTGCATATGACAGAAACTACAAGGGGAGGGGGGGGGGGGGTAATCACCCCAATCGTATGTGAGACTATGTTCAGGATTGTTGGTTTGTAGGAAATAAACATCACTTGAATGTCTGATCAATACTGAAATAACCAAACTAGTTTCCAATGCCAAAAGCAGCTGCAGAGTACTGCAGAAACCTTGGAAAATCTTAGTTCTTACACTCAGGCTTTTAGATTTAAATAATACTTCTTTTGCTGACTGGTGGATTGTTATTGAAGTTAATGCTTGGAAGTTAAGCTCAAGAAAATTTAGATGCATAATATTTTCTTCAATCAAATAAATAATAAGATAAAAAGTTTAACCGTAGATTAAGAACTTGACAAAAAATACTGTTTGTTTTCATTGGACAGAACACTCAGTAGCCATATAGAAATTAGAACCTAATAAAGAATCAGTCTTTATTCTTTGATAATTTGAAACTTTTTTTTGACCAAATATAATTTGAAACATAGACCTCAATCCTCCTAAGAAGAGATAACAACCAATAGACAAGCTATTGTTGTTAAATATATGCATCCTATCTATCTATATACATAGCAAGGTTTTACACTATAGAAATTTGGTAAATTTGATAAATTTAAATATATGCAAAAATAACACTTTGCATTCAAAGGCCATTGTCTGTAACATGATAAAATTAAAATCTCTGCAAAAGCAGTACCTCTTCAAAAGAAACTACTAATGAAAACAGCACATCCAAATAACTAATCCAGTTCACTTATGTTTGCCAAAAATAAACCAAAACAGCAAGAGCACAAAAAAAAAAAAAGTAGTAGATCTAGTAACCACCCTTCAGATCATTAACAACATCATATGGAATGGGAGTAACTGTTTCTAATGTAGCACCCTCCACCATGAAACCAGGTTTAGGGCCCTCTGGCTGCCTCTTTGTGCTAATGACCTCACCCTTTGCCTTAGCCTCTGCCTTGAGTTGATCATTCTTCACCTTCCTGAGCTTGAATTCCTCAGTGCACCTTGACGGCTGAACATGCTCCACTCGCACGTGAATCCTCTTCCTGATAATCCTGTTACCCACCTGAAATCCACAAGCATATTCAAACAAGTAGACCAATTTCCAATCAACGATATATGTAGCATGCGGTGATGACATGAGAGTAAGGCACAAGCTTAAAATAAGACAGGCAAGAATATCAGAAAAGCTCTACAGCCAAAGTGACAAGAATGCAATAGTACTAACAGGATCATAACCTGAAATGCCGGCACATTACAGCCCATTCAATCAAAATGATGATATAAAATTTAAGTTCATCCCAAAGAGCTAATTTAGATTTTTTTTGTCAACAGCAGCCCTAACATTAAATAAACAAACGCAATATTACTGCTCTGCGACAGGTGAATGCATTCTATTAAATAGTAGTACCATGTAACCAAGTGAATCCAACCTTAAAACAGCAGACCACAATACATCGAAATCAAATTTCACAGTCAAACACAAAGCAGAATAGAATAGTAAAAGTTAAGCAACAAATGCAATAGGATATCAGACCCAGAACCTATATCTTCCTTTTAAGACAAGATATCCATTTTCTGACAAAAAACATTTGGAAACATTTGATGAAACAGAGATTCACAGCAAGACAGAAAATAAATAAAAACCCAAACACGAATCAAAATAATACATCAAGCAAAATGAAACAGAAAACCCACAAATAAAATAAATAAAAACCCACGAATAAAAAAGAAAAGAAAAGCACCTAAAACAAAATAAATAAAAACAAATCCATTCTTATACCTGCTTGTTGACTTCAACGCCAATAGCTCGTTTTGTGACGTTCCAGACACGACCAGTGCGGCCATGGTAGAACTTGTGGGGCATACCCTTGTGAACGGCGCCGTTCACCTTGATGTCAACATAGTCACCGATCTTGTAGGTCCTGAGGTAAGTCGACAAGGGAATGTAACCCTTCTTTCTGAAAGGTCTGGCAAACAGATCCCTTGTTCGAGAGCGAAGACCGTGACCAGCTGGCATTTTTCACTCTCTCAGGCTTTCTTCCTCTCGCCCGCTTGAAGAAGAGACAGTGGCTACCAGCTTTAATGTGACGAACAAAAACCCTAATTGCGGTCCTTTTCTAGCGGCTTCTTTACTAGGGTTTTTTTTTTTTTTTGAGATTTTTTGTTTTTTTGGGTTTGGGCTTAGTTCCTTTGGGTTGCTTATTATCTATTTGAGCCCAAATCATCCACATTGTGGGTGCCCTGTCCGGGCATGCAATCCTGTTTAGTATGTGGACCGGATTGGGTTTTTGAATGTTTCCTAAGACAAAATAGTAGCAAATCCCATAAATCTTTAAAATTGGCTTAGAGAAAGATTCAAGTCCGAACAAGGCCTGATTCAAGCAAATTTTAAATATTTATCATTTATTATTTAGATATATTATAAAAAATTAAAAATGGTACTTTATTTTTACTTTGTCCAAAAACTAAAAAAAAATAACTTTATTTTTTATAAAAAATACAGACACGTACACAAATTCTCACGTTTAAATTTACCGCATTGTCCACCCAATCTAGATATATAAATAATATTACACGAACACTCACAATTAAATTTAATAATTTTAAATATGATATAATAATACAATAAAATTAATATAAATAAAAAATAAAAATAATATTACTTAAAATTTTAATAAAAATTATAAAAAAATTTAATAAAAAATTTATATTTTCGTATTTATATAAATTATTACACATAATTTTTATATAAAATATAATTTAAAAATATAAATATAAATATTTTATATTTTATATGATATAAATATTCGAATTATCAAATATATTCACTATTATTATTTTGTAACGTGTTGAAAGGATTAGAATCCCATCTTTTCCTTTTAACAGTAATGATTTCACAAGTAACTGTTCTCTCGTGATTCACACTAGAGTTTTATATTGCTAATCATACTGGTGCAGCAAGAAAGCAACATACCGCAATAATTAATAGCTTTGAAGAGAAAGCAGCCTTGACCCAAGGTCTCATTCCAACACGGTAGATTTTTGGACAATTTTTAAACGTGGGGACCTTGCCAATTACCATGCTCTTCTGATTCTTTCCTTCTTGAATGGCATAGGAGTCGAAATGTCCCGTGAGACAAGTCAATTGGCCATCTTTAGACCTTGACAGCTGCCCATATTCTTTTGCATTTTCCTCTTTCCGCCGGAGACCGTCTGTTCTTTATGGGCCATGTTTCCATGAACTAGTGCTACTGCTAGGTTTGCTTTAACTTGGGAAATGACATATAGAAACTTGTTTTTTTTTTATCTCTCCTTTTAATTATGAGATTTTCAAAAAAGTAAATAATTCTTACTTTTTAGTGTTTTTTATACAAGGAAATTATAATATGAAAATAAAAAAATACATTATAAATATTAAAATTAAACTTTATTGTATATTATCGTTTAAAGATAATTTTATAAGGTAATTGAGTTAAACTTTTAATTTTATTTTTATAGTGCTTTTATTTATTGAAATATTAAAATGAAATGAATTTTGGTTATCATTGCTCCTTTTTTAATGAGTAACCTTAAGATAGAAAATTGGAATTGTAATATGGTTTGCATTACAGGAGAAAGGAAATCTCTAAGAATCAAATTCTTTTGAGCTAAGCGCATATATATATATATATATATATATTGTCTTTGCGTAGCTCACACTGCTTGGACATTTGCTTTCCTCTCATGGTGGTAACGAATTATTCTTCCAGTCCTTATCGTGGAAAATTATTTCGAGAAAAAATATAATACTCTGATGTTGACTTGCTCCATTTTATTAGCAGCGCCAAGTACTCTGTCGACGTGTTATTTCGGCAACCCCAACTCCAAAAAAATTTATTTTATGTAAAATTGTTCTCATGAGGTGACGTTGGAAGGAATACCTTGGGAAAAAATATTGCATATTTTCCTTTTCCTTTGGTTTTTTTCTTATTTTTGGTTAATGTTCTTTCAATGATTAAGTCTGGAAAGGATGATTTAAACTTGAGCTAATCACCCTTTTGATAATAGTAAAGTTGGAAAATAGAAAAAGAAGATTAAAGCTCAAGATATACTATATCTATATACATACATATACAGTCATGTGCTTTTATTGTGTGAAGAAAAGATAAAAAAGGATTGCAATATATAATTCAACTGTCATGTTCCATGGAAACATGCTGATTATATATATATATATATATATATATGGAACATGACAGTTCAACAGTAATATACAGCTCTATTCTCATATTTAGGAAAATACAAAACCCAATCTTTTTAGTTGATTTTTGCTGTTTCTAAATTGGCTTTGATTTCATTAACTGATCAATTTTTTTACGCTATGTTTGAATAAAAGAATAAAAAAAAAAAATTTAAAGAAAAAAAAGATATATGTAACTCTTGTTTTAATAATTAAAATTATAAAAAAAATTTAAAAAATTTTAACAACCATTATTTAGATAAATAATAAAAAAATTTATTATAATAATTTTTTTCAATTATAATATTTTATTACCTATGATTTTAAAGCACTCTTGAACTATAATATATTAGCTATCTTATTTGATCTCACAATTATTATTATATCAATAATTTTTAATCAAGTGAAACAGAAAGATATTTTACAAATATGCATTAATAAATTTTGAGTTAATTTATTATTTTATAAATTCAAAAAATATATCTATTCATATTTAATCATTCATTAAAATCAAATCACAAAAAAATTATAAAAAAATTTTATATAAAAAAATATGTTAAACTTACTTGAAAAAAAAAATGGCTTTCAAAAAATTAAAAAATAATTATGATTTACTTAATCTTTTTATTAAAATTTTAGTATCAATAAAAAGATAAACATAATAATCTTTTATAAAAAAAATATTTTTAACTTTCTTTTCTCTACCTTTTTTTCCGTATTAAAAAAATTATGTTTTAAAAAAATTATTTAATTTTTAACCTTTTTTTAATTAAAATTTTATCAAAAATAAAATAAAAATTTTGTTTTTTTTATATTCCTTTACTTTTTTTTTTCTTCTCAATCCCACTTTTTGTTTCATTATAATATGTATCGGTAATTTGGTTGTCCCCATCTAATTTCTCCAAATATTTCCCTATTTCAAAATCCTCTATGGCTGTAACCCTCTCAAAACCACGACTCTCCTCCACCTTCCTTTTTCTCTGTACTCTGCTCTGTTTCTCAATTGCTCTTGTTGTCTCTGCAAAATCTGATGGCTTCTCAAACATCATATCACCAGCAAAACTAGGCCTCAAGCGAGAGAAACTCACCCACCTTCACTTCTACTTCCATGACATAGTCAGCGGACGAAATCCCACAGCTGTTCGAGTAGCCGACGCAGCCATGACAAACAAATCCCAAACTGGTTTCGGTGCTGTAGTGATGGTCGATGATCCTTTGACGGTTGCACCCGAGCGCAACTCCAAGCTTGTGGGAAAAGCACAAGGAATATACGCTTCTGCAGCACAAGAAGAAGTTGGTTTGTTAATGGTAATGAACTTTGCTTTCATGGAAGGCAAGTATAACGGTAGCTCCCTTAGTCTTCTAGGTCGAAACACCGTCTTCTCAACCGTGAGGGAGATGCCAATTGTTGGTGGTAGCGGTCTTTTCCGGTTTGCTCGTGGCTATGCTCAGGCAAAGACTCACATATTTGATATTAAATCAGGGGATGCTGTTGTGGAGTACAACGTCTATGTCTTCCATTATTGATATGGTGATCGATGCCTTTGGTTTTTGTGGCCTCTGTTCCTCTGTTAATTGTTCTCTTTTTGTTTTCTTCTTGTGTAACTTCATCCTTTGGCTTTAGGTTGTATGCCTTGGGTCACCTTATGTTGATCTGGTTCATGGGATTTTAATGGTGTTTTTTTTTTTTATATTTATATGAAATAACATTACAAGTAAAAATTGTAACTATAATTAGTATTACATTCACATTAAAAATCAATCTAATAAATACAGCATAAAAAAACCAACATATAATTAAATTTATATTTTTTAGAGAAGTATAATTAAAGTTGGATATATTTAATCGAACATATAAAATTAAATCAAACTTATGCTAAACTTAAATTTTAGCGGGAAATTTCTTGCGAGCGAGCGACCGAGAGGTGACACTAAGGATTTTTATGAGAATTTTATTTATTGAAAATTAATACAATGTCTAAATCAAATTATACTTGGTGAATGACGTTATGTTTATTTTTAAAAAAATTGAATTAAAGATGTTCATTTGTAAAATTGACCAATAGTGGCATGCTGCCATGCATGTGGTACCAAATCTGTCCAGTAAATGTTATTTTTATTTCTTTCTTTCTTCAGACCAAAATCACACAAACTGAATTATTATTAATTAAATTTATACTATTAAGAGATTGTTATTCCTTTTCCAAGCTTTAGCCCTCACCACTTTAAAGTTTGCTTAACTTTACATGAAGCAAAATGGAAGGAACAATTCATTCTTTTGAATCTTTTTTTTTTTCTCTCTTTACCGCAAGCCAAGAAGAATATTTTTGAGCCATTATCATAGAAATTAAAGCTACGAATCAGCAATTTACTGAAAGATGCAAAGAGATATGAGAGCAAGAATGAGCATTTGAATTTTGAAACCAAGTACACTGCTGATTGGAGCCCATATTTTTCTTTGGTGTTACTCAACATTTGGGCTGCAGAATCAATGGTGATGGTGGGGTACTCCAAATTCATATCTCCATTAGAGCTGTTATTTTTTCCTTTTGGGTTTAAAAACTCAAAAATTTTCAAAAATTTTAAACCAAAAATCACAAAAAAAAAACTTTTATTGATGAATTGTTATAGCTGTTACATGAATTTAGTTGTTTTACGTGTTTACTAAGTATGGGTAATTCAATGTGGATTTTGGTTCTATAAATTTTTTTTGTGGCTGCTGAGTTTATTTATAAGTGTTTTCTATATTATTTGCTCTGTTCATGGTTGTCTCTAGAAATTGGGTGGCTATCGAATAAAAATTGATTGTTTATTTGATATTTAATATAATTCCAACAATATAAATTTTAGACATAAAACTTAAAATTTCCATATAAGTAGATAAATAAAAAAATTTAAAATCTCAACCAAAAACAATTAATATAGGCAAAGAACACCAGTAGTAGGAACATTTAAGAGCAAAATTAAATTTTGAATCTTGGCTTGAGATTGTTTTTTTAGGTTTGTGAAGGAATGTTTTTCGATGGTTTTAGGTTTGGTTATTTTCGAGGGTTTTTTTTTTTTTTTTGACTAAGAAGAAAGAAGTGCTAATGGCGGAAAAAGGGATCGCAGCACAATGGGCTTTATGACTTTGGTGTTGGGTTTTCTTTTTTGGTTCATGTTGGTGGTCACTAGTTACGAAGGACTACGCGGCAACCAACGATGGTAGTGTAATGGACGGTGATGACGAGCTCTCACAGAATTTGAGATTTTGTTTTCTTTAATTCTAGAAATAAGGCAAAGAATGTGACATGAGGAGAAAGAGCTGTTGCAAAAAAAATTAAGCATTAGAGAGAGGAGAGAATTAGAGGAAATAAATTTTTATTGAAGATGATTTTTATAGAGAGAAAATTCATATGATTTTAAAGAGAAATAATGAATTTAAGAGAAAAAATAAGGAAAAAAAAAGAAAAGAAAAAGTAATGGTGTTTGGTAACAATATAATAAAATAAATTATAAAAAATTAAATATCATATTTTAAATTTTAAAAACTAAACTAAAATTTATTTATGATTATATATATATATATATATAATTTACCCATTTATTTATGATTCACACATGTCATTAAAAATGTTCAATCTATATATAATAAAAGTGTTTAAGGGTTGAATTTCGTTAATTATTGGATTAATTTTATAATTATGAAATATAAAGGATTCTATATTAATATTTAAATATTTTAAATATTTTTTAAAATTCTAAATTTCTTTTTTGAAAAATTCTAGTATATAGGATAAATTTTCTTTGTTCAAATTCTAAATTTCCAAAATTTTACTTTACTTTTGTTTCTTATGGAACATTGCAATGTCCTTTTTTTTTGTTTTTGTGGTAAATAAATGTGAAGAGAAATTTTAAAGAATTTTTTGATTTAGTGATTACGGAAATTTTGCAATAAAATAAAATTCTTAGTTTTGAACAAAATTTTCTCTAATTTTTTTAGGAGTATGCTCATCTTATGTAAAAAAAAAAAAAATCAACTAGTTAGCCACGTAGAAAGCACTCCACTATCTTTTTCGGTCAAAAGTCAAAACTTGACGCGATCTTTCAAGATCGAACGTTCGAAATCATGATGCCATCAATTGCCTGTCCTTTTCTTTATTTTACTCCCGAAAATTTGGGCAAATATGGGATTTTAAAAGCAAAACCAACGAGCAAGACTAGCCATAAAGGAACCAAAGAAAAGCAAACCACACATAAACCAAAGGGTTAAGTACTAATTTGGTTCTTGTATTATATAATTTTTATTAATTTGATACTTAAAAAAAATCACAATTAACTGGATTTGATTTTATAAGTTGCATATGAAAATTAAGATGTTGCTACTTGGTAAAAAGAAAAAGCAATTGCAGTACAAAGTCTTTCCTTTCAAGCGTGCCATGTTTAGGTTTCAGGTCATATATATTTTTCTGCTTAGAAAAACATTACAGTGACAATATCTTTCTTTTTCTCTAAATTTATTTTTTAACTCTAACGCCAGATGAATAGTTGATGTGCTTCTTTTATTTGTATCCTTTTCTAATTGCCACAAACCATTTATACCAGTTCTTGATGTCCAATAGAAAGACGAATTGACCACCTTTTTTAGACCCTTCAAAAACGCAGCCAATATTATTTCGTTCCTCTTTTCCCTCGGGCCCTCTCCATGGCAACTTCTCTTTCTTAATCACACGTTCTTTTTTTTTTTTTTTTACTTATCAATTTATACAATGTTAGCCTTTTTTGCTTCCTTTCTTGTTAGTAATTTCTTTTTTTATCTCTTTCTTATAATAATTAAGGTGATACAATAAAGATTTGTTATTAAAGCTTTTTATTAGAATTTTTTTTGGCTTATTTTAATTTATCTATTTTTTAAAAAATTTATATTTGATGTGTTGTTAATAATGAATAATATCGACACCGCCTCATATGTTAATTTTTTTAGTCGAATTTTCTAATTGTGCAATTAAATATGATCCAATCGTGTCCGGCTATACTTGCAAAATGGGTTGGCATTGACTATCTTTGTATCTTTTATTCCGAGTGGCTTTCAATTCATACCCTTTTACTTGTGTTATATAAATTGATAGCAACAACTCGCTAAAACCATCAAAGCCTTTCATACCAATTAATAAGGCAAATCCTTCAAATCAATTAACACTCAAACATCATGGCTAAAACCTTGCCAAATCTCACCTTCACCTCCCTCATTCTGACCATCGTCACAGTTCTCTTCTCCTCCTTAACCCTTTCCACAGCAAAACCTTATCGTTTCTCAAGAACCATATCCCCAGAATCACTAGGACTCAAGAAAGAGAATCTGAGCCACTTTCATTTTTACTTCCATGACATACTCAGCGGACCAAAGCCTACAGCAGTTCGGGTAGCCAGTGCACCTATGACCAGCACTTCGGCAACTTTCTTCGGCTCCGTGGTGATGATAGATAACCCTTTGACGGTTGGGCCTGAGTTAAACTCCAAGCTTGTGGGAAGAGCGCAAGGGATTTATGCCTCTGCATCACAAACCGAAGTTGGGCTTTTGATGGTTTTGAACCTTGCTTTCACTCATGGTAAGTACAATGGCAGTGCCCTTAGCATTTTGGGGCGTAACCCCGTATTTTCTACCGTGCGGGAGATGCCGATTGTTGGTGGCAGTGGGTTTTTCAGATTTGCACGTGGTTATGCCCGGGCCAAGACTCACTCTTTTGATCTCAGCACTGGGAATGCCGTTGTGGAGTACAATGTCTATGTCTTCCATTATTGATGGTCGACGGTCTTTGTTTTTTTTTTATTACACATACAATCGTGTTTTTCATTTTTTAGCTTCCTAATTGTTTTCTTTTGCTTTGGAGTTTAATGCATCATTTATTACGTATTAATAAATATATAAATATTAACGTTCGCTGGTTCGAACGATAAAAAATTTGATTTTATTTGAGTAAAATTTTGATTTTTAATATTATAAATAAAAAAAATAAATTTGAGAGAATTTATTTTGTTTATAAAATTTAATTTGATTTAATTTTAAATTAATTAAAATTTTAAAAAAATTATCAAATATAAAAAAATTTTAAATAAAAAATAAATAATAAATAAATAATTTGATTAAATTTTGCATCCTGAAACTCCCCAAGACATCTCGTGTTCGAATTTATAGGACAAAGAACGATTACCTCTCATTATTGAATCAAAATCATATGTTAAACAAAAAAAAAAAAAAGGCGATTGAAAGCAGACGTTATTTATTGCATGTATTGCGTTGTTGCTGTTGAGTGTTAAATGAGCATTTATTTATTTCTCCATGCATGGTTGCTTTAAGAAATCAATGGCCACACATCTTTGTTAATTAATTGTTGAAATAAGCAATTTCATTTATTCGGATAATTATATTTAAAAGATAATATTTAATAAATTTAAATTGAAATATTAATATTTATAAATTTTTAATCTACTTCAAACTATGATTTTTTTTTCAAAGAAAAAAGTAATTTTAGCATGGCGTGAACATTATTGTTCTTCCTTCCACACGTTTCTTATATTCTATTCAGAATAAGGACAGTTGAGCAACAAAATACTTCACTAAAATAAATGCAAATGTTGTTAATGTAAAATCTTATTAATTAAGGTGGAACTTTAGCAATTAATTGTATTTATTCAACATGTATTCACTAAGATAAATGCAATTTCAACATGATAATCGGGTTGTCACGATTATAGTCAACGTTCTTTTCTTTGAAGAACAATATATAACCAAAAATCTTCAACGTGTCAAATAAAAAAAAATCATATCACTAATTACTAAGCTGATTTTCCATATCCAAACCAATAGCATGTGAAAAGGTTTATATGTTTTGATTTAGAAAATGTTAACATGTGTTATATGACACTTTAATTTATACTATATATATTTAACTATAAATAATATGAAGTTTTTTATTTTGAAATTTAGCTTCACACTTTTCCATGTGTTAATTAGGGCGGCTTTTTTTTATTTACCTGATTTTTTTTCTTAAAAAATAAATCAAAAGAAAAGAATGAAAGTTGGATTTTTTTCTTAAAAATTTATCAATTTGGTTTAATAGTATGAACAAATCTTTAGAATTATGAAATTTTAAATTTAAGTTTTATTGTACGTGAGCTTGTTCATTAATTTCTTTGTTTAATTATTTAGTGATGTAATATTTGATTATAATTATAATTTTTATTATATTTATAATTAAAAAAATTAAAAAATTTTAAATATAATTTTTTAAGTCAACAATTTTTCCAAAAAAAATCTCTTCCACCAAAAAAGAAAAAAATAAATATAAACCACCCCCCCCCCCAAAAAAAAAAAAACTAATGGCATCCAACAAACAAAAATTGCAAAATTTCATTAAAAATAAAAAATAGAGACAACAAAGAAACGTCATTCTTACAAAAGGAAGCAACACAAAAGACCCTTTTGTCTTTTAATTTAATTTTTTAGTAGTCTTTTGGCATTTTACTATTTTTCGGTTAATTTATTATATAATACACAAGATTATTTAAATAACATAGGCATGTGATTTCACCACAAGAGATTTAGAGTTATATATATAAGTGTTTTATCTGAGCATTGCTGCATGACTAATTTTTTATTGCATATTTTAGGCATATACTAATAAGAACATAATCACATTTTTATTAACAATGATAGTTCAAATAATTAATGAAATAAAAATAAAATTAAGAAATTAAAGATATCTAAAGTAATTATTCATAGATTGCATAATTTATATCATGAACAGACTTACTAGTGTAATTGATATACTTTTCCATTTTCTTTAATATTTGTTTTTTACTATGTAATTAACATTCATGGTATCAAAGATATATATTAATGTTTAATTATGTTGTCGAATTCTTTCATTGATAGAACCTGCTGTGATCACTTCAGATGACTTTAATTGTACCTAAGTTATTGTAAGATTAGGTTGGTTTATAGTTTGTATGTATTCCTATCAAATAAATTATAAATACATTATAATGTGAAATGAGATTAGTGAGTTAGAAAATACAATGGGATATATATCTATTAATTAATAAATTAATTGATAAAAGTATTTAAATCACTCATTTTATATTTTTTTAGTACAATTGCTTTTAATATTTTTGAAATTTATATTTTTAATTTTATATATAAAGAAAGATAGATGATATATATATATATATATATATCATTTCACTATCTGCTGCAATCAAAATCCAACAATCACTTTCCTTGTGATAAGAAAGTCAATGCTTCCTATAATATTTTTATAAAAATAAAATAATTGTCATATTTTTTATGTAATCACATTAACTAGTTTTCATGAACAAAATAAGGTTTCCCTAGAAAAGAGAAAAGGTATAATTATTTTTTTAAAATTAAAATTAAAATTAAAATTAAATGTTATATTTATATAATTAATTATTATATCATAATTAATATATTATTATTAAATAATTAATAGATTAAAACATAACTAAATAATCACGAGCACCACAACTATCATCACACAGCATTAAATTTCTTTTAAAATATATAAATAACTATTATCAATCAAAGGCAAAACTTTTATTTGGTGATATAAAAAGAGAGAAAAAAACAATTAAGGAACAAACAAATGATTCGATCAATAATGGAAAACATAGACATTATATTCCACAACAGCGTTCCCAGTCTTGAGATCAAATGTATGAGTCCTTGCTTCGGCATAGCCACGAGCGAACCTGAAAACCCCGCTTCCACCAACGATCGATAATTCCCTGACAGAATCAAACACCGAGTTACGCCCCAAAACGCTAAGGTTGCTGCCATTGTATTTCCCTTCCATGAAAGCAAAGTTATATACCATTAACATGCTAGCTTCACTTTGCGACGCTAAAGCATAAATCCCTTGCGCTTTTCCAACAAGTGTGGAGTTGATATCGGGGTTGATCGTCAAAGGGTCATCTATCATCACCACCGCACCAAAGGGTGAGGATAAAGTTGTTGTGGGTGCTTGAGCTACACGGACAGCGGTTGGATTTTTGGCGGTGACTATGTCATGAAAGTAAAAGTGGAGGTGGCTTAGTTTCTCTCGCTTCAGCCCTAGAGATGATGGAGATGGGTTTCTTGAGAAAAATTGGGATTCTATGGTGGCAAAGGTTGAGAAGAATGAGAGAATTGTGAGGAGGAAGGGGAGACTGGAGCAGTGTTTAAGGAGGATATTCGCCATGATTGAGGTATAGAGCTATAGAAGACAAATCTGAATAAGTTCAAAGTGCCTGAAGTTTGTAAATTATATACTACGCAAAAATGAAACGGAGATTTGTTTAGTTGGGTTGATGTCTGGGGAGTAGCCCTAATGGACTTTGAAAAATTGGTTTAGTTGTGCCTAACTATTTGTAAAATAATTTACTGATATTTGGTAGGACTTTTTTATATCAAATATATTAATTAAAATGAACCAAACATATTTTAAATTTTCTTTTTTTAATGAAGAAAGAAAACCAACGGAAAAAGTTAAGCTTGAAAACTTCCCCCACCGCTTTGCTCTTCTTTTTATAAAAATTAAAAAAAAAATCGAACTCAATTCTAATTCAATTTTTCTTCCTTTTTAAAGCAAAGGAAAAGTTTTTACTATGGCCTTGGGTTCTCCTACCCATGTGGCTTAATAGCCTATCCAATTTAATAGAACGAAATTGGATCATTTTTTTGAAGGTGGCCAATTCAGTAATGAAGTAATTGGGCCAAGGAAATCCAAGTAAACGGTTCTCAATAAAAGGAGTTACAGCCGAATCAGGTATTTCAACACAACAGAGATTGGAAGACATATGCTTCTGACTACTTCCGAGTTTGAGTTCGGAGCAGAAGCCAAGACAGAAAACAGATTCTAAGGAGACGGTTTGGGTGTTCGGAAGAATGAGGGCAAGAGAGGCATACGAGGAAAAACTAAGGAATGGAAATCTCTACCATGATCCAACCATCAAACCTGGCTTAGGTTCCGCTCGTTGTCCTCGTTGCCTCTCTTTTAAGCCCTGATTCTGTAATCCCTTTGTGTCCCTCTTTCTTTTTTCTCTGTTTTGTAACTCAAAGCTTTGACTTTTGGGTTCTGTTTTAATAATTTTTTTAACAGGACAAAGCAGAATGGACAATTACTTCAGTTTTACATGATGGTACTGCAGTGGTCAGTTCCTTCCCCATGTTTTCATCGTCTTTTTCTTTTATTAAACTCTTTTTTTTTTCTTTTTTTATACTTTACAAACGAAAAAGGAAAGGAAAATAAATTAAAACACATTGTTCTCATTTGTAGACTAGCAGAAGGTTCACGATTCTTTGTTTTTGTATTGGAAAGCTGTAAATTTTAAGCTGAGATTGATAGCTATTATATCCTAGCTTAGACCAGTTAGAAAGTGTTTCAGTGCTTTAACTTTTTTTTTTTTTTAATATCTAATAGGTCCTACTAACCACAATTTTTTAAAGAAAGGTGATAATGGTAGTGTAAACATTCTATTTTGTGCAAAAATTTTTTTGAAATTAAAACAAGTTGTAATCGTGAATTGAGTCTAATTGAAAAAATATATTTTTAATTTAATTTTTAGTTTAATTTGTTTTTGTCTGAGAAAAGGTAAAAAAAGGAAAAAAGTTTTAATGAAATATGATGGAAATGAGGTTGAGAGATTTTTGAGATTTAATTCTAAAATCAATTCACATTAAAATGCTGTTGAAATATTTTTAAGATTTAATTTCAGAATCAATTCATATTAAGATTAAATCAAATAAAATTATTAGTTTAAGGATAATTGATTTAGCATGAATTTCTTTATAAATCGGTGATCACATAAAGGGAAAGATCATTCACAAAAAAAAAAAAAAAATCCAAAGCCAAGCCGAAGCAAAACCCTCTGCCTGTCTTTCTCTTAAATGAGCACAGCAAGAAGAAGAAAAAAATGGAGAAAAAAAAATTCTAGGGATCTTAGTTTTTTGTTTTTGGGAGGAATCATTCAAGCAAATTCTAAAATTTTTTTTTCTTTGGGTTTTGTGATTTTATTTCATTTTGAATTTAATTTGATTTTTGGGTTTCTTGAATTTGGGTTTTAATTTTTGAGTTTGATTCATATTCTTTTAAATTTTTGAGATTTTTGTTGGTTTTTTTTTTGTTGGCTTTTGATTCTGAGATTTCTATTGTGTTTTCAAGAATCTGAAAAAAATTTTGAGTTTAGGATGAACTTTTCGGTTGAAGCTTGAACTTTTTGCATGAATCTGACGACCTTCATGAAGATTCGCGCTTCAAGCTTGACCCGATCGCAGGTTTTTTTTTTCTTTCATCCTATTTTCTGTTTTGATTTTATTTTATTTCACTTCTTTTATTTTATTTTCATTTTATTTTTAGATTTTTTATTTTTACTTATTATTATTATTTTCGTCTTTAATTATTATTTTACTCATTACTTTAAATTGAAAATTTTATTATTTGTTTTTTAAAAATACCTTTATGAATTTTATTTATTTATTTAAAAATAATAACAAAAAAAATGTTTCTAAAATAAATTTATTAGTTTTACCAAATTATTGGAGGATTTTTCATGAATTTAAATTTTTTATGAATTCTATGAAACTATTGGAGAATCTCATAAATCAATTTTATAAAAGAATTACTAATAAAATATTTTGTTTTGATTGTGCCAAACTATTGGAGGATTTGCATCTTGAATTCAATCTTACTAAATTATTGAAAGATTTAATAAATTTTTTCAAAAATAAAATTTTATAAATATTTTTACAATAAAATCTTATTAAAGTATTGGGAGATCTACATCAAAATAAATCATACTAAATTATTGTAGGACTTTACTAAATTTTTTTCTTGAGTAAAAAAAATACATTAATAAATTCGACAATGGAGTCTTTTCAGAGTGGGATACTAGTCTCCATGAATATTCTTACGGTAAGAGAATTATCTTAAATTACTATTAAACTATTAGAGTAATTTTAGGATTAATTTTTAATATTAAATATTTTGATAAATTATAAACATATTTGAAGTTTGGATAATTTGAAATCAAACTGATTCAATCATTTGGATGAGTGCTATGGGGGTGCTATAACTTTGCTCACACGTAACCGTACTCCCGAACCTAAAATCTAATTTCGTGGATTAGATTTTACTGTTTAAAGATACCTAAGTAAATTTTGAGATTTCTCTTTAAATAAGACAGATTCTATCAGGTGGTCAATCACACCTAAAGAAAAAAGATTGGTGACGACTCTTAAAAAAATCATGTCTAACGGTAGGTTCACGGATTTATATTTTATGATAATTTGGTGACTCTGTTGGAGAAATGAGAGTCAGGCCAGTAAATGATTTCTTACTATCCAAGCCTTGCTTAATAAATTTAGGATTTTTTTTCTTTTCGCTTTTTTTCATTTCCTTGCTTATATTTTGTTTAGTTATTCATTTATTCGTTTTCATATATATATATATATATTATCATTCATTTGCATGTGCGTAACATGAGTTCTACATCCGAGTTCTATCTTTTAGGAGGAAATGAAGTACCTACGTCTTCGTGAGATTTCTTGTCTTCGTATGGGCTAGCGAAGCACTCCCACTCAGATTGAAATCTTTCTGCTTGTAGCCTATGGTGAGCAAGAACGGGGTGCCTTATTAGTCTATAATGATCAATGATGGAAGGAACAATTTGAGAACCCTTAAATTGTCAAATCTTAGAACCTAGCATATAAATAAATAATAAGGGTCCAAATTTAAGTTAGAGCTATACCTCCACTTGTGTTAGAAAATTCTCAATAGGATACATGATGGGACATTTATTTTGCTTGAAATTTATATATTTTCTTTGCATACTAGCTCTTTATGTTATTTTTTGTATATATTATATTGTTCTTTATATATTATGTTTACTAACCCTTTTTTTTATTGTATATGCATGCATTTACATTATTAAATCCTTATTGTTGCATTCATGCACCATTATATTTAATCTCATGCATAATCTGATGGTCATATAAATATCGTTCTAAATTTGTACATTAATTGTGAGAAAACAAGGTTTGAGGATAATTCAACATCAATATTACACTCGGGCTTAAGCTAGAAGAATGGAACAAGATAATGCTAGCCATGTCAAGAAATTAGAAAAGGCCTAAGAAGAGATTAAAGTAGAGCTTAGCAAAATCCTCGAGGCATTGGGCAAGTTGAATAAAGGAAAGATAATAGAAGAAGACATTTCACATGATGTTGCTGATCCTCTATATCCTTTGTTTTGGTCCATATCAAGCCTAATCCACTCCAAGTTTTTCATCATAAAAGTTTGTATTTTCAATAGGCTATACTTATTTAAAAATACCACATGCACCAAGCAAAAAGAATATCCAAAGCTATAATAACTTTACTTTTATTGAAAAAATAGTTAAATTCATCCAAGTTCCTAATTTAGACATCCCTAAGAGAAATTAAAAATGGTTAAGGCTTCAGAAGATTCAAAAGATGATTATAAGATGAACATGCTAGATAAAAAGTTGTGAGCTGTTGAAGGAATAGATTTTTATGACTTTATAGATGTTGCCAGCCTTTATTTGGTTCAAGATGTTGTGATTCCTCTGAAATTTAAAGTTTCAGAGTTTGAAAAGTACAATGATACTAAGTGTGTGATAATTCATGTCATCATGTATTATCGAAAGATGGTAGCCTACGCTAGTAATGAGAAGTTACTTATGCATGTATTCCTAGACAATTTAACTGGTTCTGTCGCAAAGTGGTATGTTCAATTGGACTAGGCCTGCATCAAAAAATGAAAAGATTTGATTGATTTTTTCATTAATCAATACTGTCATATTATAAATATGGCTTTTGATAATTTTTTTTTACAGAGTATGAAAAAAAGGTGACAAAATCATTCAAAGAATATGCTCAGAGGTGGCAAGATATTGTTGCTCAGGTCTAGCCACCCTTAACTGAAAAAGAAATAATGGTTTTGTTTGTAAAAATTTTGAAGTTGCCTTGTTATGAAAAGATGATAGAGAATGCAATAAAAAATTTTGTTAATATGGCGATTTCAAGGAAGATTATTGAAAATGCTATCAAAAGTGGTAAGCTTGAAGAGAAAAAGATAGACAATGCTAAAAAAGGTGGGATGCCTAAAAAAGAAGAAGATGAAGCCCAAACGATGAGTTTTGAGGGGCAGCAATCCAAAAATTATGCTCCATATCTAGCATATGTTCATCCTACTTACTACCTAGCAGCTAATAATATTGCACAAGTTTTTTACCAATCTTATTTCCCAACCATGAACAACATC